ATATATATATATATATATATATATTAATGTATAAAATAATAATGATAATAATAAAATATATTATATTATTAATTGATTTTGATATTTTATGGTTTTAACGACGGATTCAATTTCCAAAGTGTTTGACACCTCTGTTAAAGGGGTGTCATTAGGCACTCCCCCATATTAAAATATGGAAATCATTAAATAACCACCGACTAAAGTAATCACAGATTACAAAATTACCCCTACTCATTAACTAAGGCATGTGATGGAAAAGATTTGACATTTGATTGATCCAAGTTGTTTTGCAGAGTTAAGAAATGATTGGGACTCCATATAATCTCAAGTTTAGAGGCAATTAATGTATATATCCAAAAATTAATAAGTAACCAACTGATAAACATGATCAAATACAAAATAACAAAACAATAAACATACACATTATACATAATATCTCTCATTCCATTTGATTCCAGTCAGTCAGACATAATATAATATAATATATATAGAGATAGGCAACCAAGGCAATAATCATCTCTTTAATAAAATTATATCCAAAAAAACAAAAAGAAAAAAGAAACCCTATTAACTTGCACCATACTTGAGCCTTTCCCAAATGAAGGGCTGGAATACATACATAACCTGAGGTGAGCTCTTGAACAGCAGAGCCACACACACACACACTGCAGCTATTGCCACCATTGACAGCATTGCCGGTTTGTATATCGCCAGCGACGAACGCCCACCACCATAATACGCCACTTTCCGCTCACATCGACTGCACGAACTAATGGCTCTTGTTACCACAACACCTTTCTCGGTTTCAAATCCGGCCGCCACTTTAAACAGAGGAGACTCTGTTGGTGGCATGTCAACAACTACATGCCCCTTCTCTGATCTCTTTTTATTCATCTTTCTTTGAACCAGATGGATGTAATTGTAATGCCCTCTCAGCGACGCATAATCATAAGGACTTAAACCACTACTATCACGCGAGTTTCTCCATGCGTCAAGCCCCACCTGAAACAAGTCAACGTTTTCCCTGTAACTCAGCAACATTCTTCCAAGATTTCTTTATGTATTCAAATGAATTACTACAGATAGAAAAATGGTAGCTTTGATTATGTGACTAGTTCCTTATCCGTTTTGCATGTCGGAAGTACTTGGCTTGATGTCAAAAAATGGTGCAGAACATGAGAATCTTTTAATTGATCGTTAATGAGTTGGCCGAGTTTATTTATGGCAATTAGTGGTTTAGTAAGTGAGTTTATGGAAGAGATGAAAATGAGAGGAAGACAAAGTACCAGTAGAGGATCATCTGTTAATGCGTCCAACACGCTCTCAGAACCATCTTTACCAGATGCAATATGAAGAGGAGTCAATCCACCAGGTCCTGCAGCATCTGGTCTAAACAAAACAGACCCAGAAACATTTTCTGGGTGGTAATTCAAGAGCAATGAAACCATGCGGTTGGAGTTGCGCCTCACAGCTCGATGAAGTAATCCCACTTCCACCAAAGCAACTTCAACCGAACCATGCTCAGCTGTTTCTACTGCTCCATTCAAGATAATGCCCAAAAGTTTCTTCACCACAGCACACCAATCATGGTCAATGGAAAACTCTATGAGCCACCTGAATCTTTTAAACGAAAAAGAGTCTGAACTGGGATCCATGGAACCCAATCTGACTTTCAACTGACTCCGATGAAGAAGCCAACCCATCTCATTTACAAACTCCAATGCCCGTGTCCTTGCTTCTATTTCTTTCTTCTCTCTTTCTGTGTCGTCAGAAGTTTCAACCACATCTAGGTCGCTCTCAAGTGTACGGATTTCTGAACAAACATCTTGTTCTGCAACTATAAACGGAAAGAAGCTGCTGCTGAGGCTATCATCCTCGATCTAGTCAAATAAATAGCATCCAGATGTCAGAAGTTAAGAATAAATACTCTTAGAATAAGATGTAAGAAACCCAATTAACATGAAATTGAGTCCCAAAAAAGTGATGTTTTGAGTCACCTCTATGAATCCTCTCCCAGAAATATGAGGTATAGGGCAGGAGAAGCTAAGGGACTGGGTGTCTTCATGTTTTATCAAAGAATCTGCTGCCTCCATTAAATCTGAACAACTAGTCTGAAGAAGGTAGCTACCTTCCAGTACACAGAGCATCCTAAAATAAGAATTTTAAAGATCATTAATAATGTTAGGAGACGCTCACTCCTTCCCATGAAAACTGGAACTTTTATAGTAAAATTACTTATTTACTCATTGTGATGATCACTATAAAGAACTGTTGATATTGATTGGGGTTCACAAAGTTCCGTTATTTTGTCATTGTTAAAGGGTATTCAAAGACATTTGACTAATGGTCAAATAATTCTAAGAAACAGCTGTTGTTTTCAAGGGCCAGATGGAGTGGACACCAAACTGAGCAAAATAATAAGAATTGAAAGATAGTACCTTGAGGTTGACCATGAAATGTTGAAGCCTTTGACAGAAAATTGAGTGCTCTCGGAAGCAGAAACTGCTATGGGTGTAATGTTCAAGATGCTGGACTTCCTGTGGCTTTTATGAGGCAAAGCTGTGTTCAAAACAATCTGGCCTGTAACACAAGAATTGAGATAAGTTAGGGAGGCCAAGTGAAAAAGACAGAAGATTTACAATGTACAGCGAAAAGAACCAACCATCGCAAACAAAGGCAACATGATCAAGCACCCTAGTATAAACCCATCCTGTTCTCCAGAAAGAATTACTGGATGCATCCAAAAGCTTCCTCAAATGGCTGCTCAAATCATAGCAAAGCTGCATGATAACAATTAAGTATATAAGCATAAGGTACAGAAATTTTGATATCTTGATCTTGCTTATTCCAATTAAAAGTCGAGCCTTTTTTGCTGATTTGATTTATTACACATATTCCTAAAACAAGATTAGCAATCTTGATGCATTGAGTGACACGAAGATTTACCTCATCCCAGGAGGAGTTGTCCATTCGAAGATATATTGCTAATATGATACATCCAGGTCGAATGTAACCTTCAATATCAGTAGGGCTGTGTAATAACCAGTCGAGGATCTGAAATTTACGCAATTTAGTGAATTTAATCCAACAAAAAGTGAACCCATAAGGTGCAAGACGGGGGGTGGAGAAAGACCTGGTTGCGAAGGACAATAGGCAACTCATTAGGATCTTTCCCAAATAGCTTGAACACAATCCGGTCTGTACGACTCTGAAAAACAGTGGAAAAACTCTATATGAATATATAATACTTGGGTATTTATTAATCGTCTACATTACAAATCTAGCTCCTCCCGTTTCTAGAATGTTACACTTAAACTTTTGAACAGGCTACAATTTAACATCGAAAGTGATACGACAAGAAACTTGGATAACAACATCAAACTTCATAATACGTGCTACAAGCAAAAAAGACCAATATCAAATTTGCAACACATTTCATGTCAATTTTTTTGCACATAAAAAGTAATAATAATAAGCTTTGATCCCAAAAGTCAAAATGTGCAGCCTTGGAGGTACGTTGTTTTATTTTTTATTTTCACAAGAAGAAGATATGTTATACCTGTGCTTCCCCACTGGAACTAGATGGTGACTGCGTTGCTGTTGAGCCAGAGTTCCCACTTGTCTGAGGAGGACTTGACTTGTGAGGGTGCCTGCGTAACCATATGGGCACATTGTCTGTATTTTCAGGTGTTTCAAAGCTCTCTGTGGGTTCCATACAATCTTGAGAATCATCATAAACCATGTTCAAGTCAATGTTGTTCAGTTTCATCTTTCCAACAGTAGCTTCCACGGTATTAGCTTCAGTGGGAGCTTTGTTATTTGAGGAAATTGTAATTTGGCAAGGATCTGGGGTTCCTAAAACTCCTCTATGCATCATGTCTAATCTTGAAGGGTTTACGGTTTCTCCGACAGGCTGCAGAGGCTCCTATAAGTAAAGATTTTCCACAAGTTAGATATGAAACCAAGAATCTATCTCATTTATACCATTTTCCATTTTATGTCTCCGTTTCAGTTCTAATTCACACCACACAAAATGGCACCAGCAAAATGAAAATTATTAACAGAGCTTTACCTTTTCAGGGGGTGCAGAGGATGTCCCAGCATCCTGCAAGCATTGGGATCCAGATAATAATCCAGATGAGTTTTTGTCATTGACTGTACCGGCAAGACTGGCAAGGTTTTTCAAAAGATGAGAGAGCAGATCTTGATCTTTGCTTTGCTCTGAGGTATTAGCTGCAAATTACAGAAAATAATCCCCAGTCATGATTTATGGTATGCTTCGACTTTTGGGGTCAAACAGATCAAGATTCATCATCTACTTGCATTACTCAACTGAACATAAATCACAGCTAACCAGCAGATCTAATGACAGATTAGTAAACTCATGCATTTAAACATCTTTAAGTTGACGCTTCAACATCAACTCTGCCCCCATCTCCCTAAATACAAAAGCACGAGAAAAAGAAAAGGAAAGATGAAATTTAAAGAAATACTCTAGAATGTTATGATGCTACTAGTCGTGGCTTCATAAACCCATCTTTATCAGGAATCTACTAATTTTATATTATAGTCCAACAAGTCAAGAAATGGTGACCCTATGCTTCTTTCGTGACAGTTGGGGAGGGAAGTTTATGTATGCAGTCTTAGCCTTGCATTTTGCAAGAGGCTTTTCCATGACCCAAACGAGTTACCTTCAATAATATAAAAAAAAAACTCGATTTTATTATGTCATCATTCAAGAACTCATGGCTGGTTTCATTTTATTACATGCAGCATGACATGATGACATTTGATCAGATAAATGCTTACATTGTACATTGGAGAGTATCCTCAACAGACTAACGAGCAAATAACTACAGCTGCGTTCATCATTTAGCGACACTCCATTAATTGTGTTTTCTGGATGTGTCTTTCTTCTCCGTCTATTATGTCCTGCTAAACGCCGTCGACAACTTCTCTTTCCTTCATCAAATTCCTGAAGAGCATGAAACCTGCCCACATATATAAGCAAATAAAATCATACCGAAATTACTTTCACGAGCTACAAGCTAATAGAAAAAAGAAACGCTAGTATAAGATTGAATCAAACTAAAAAAACATATCCTTTTTAAGCGCAAGAAACTAAAAGTTTGAAGCAACAATGGTGGGTTGTGATAAATAGTGTCAAATTTAAAACCAATGAACACTACATAGCGCAAACATGGAATCTTAAGCTCTATTTGTTAACCATTTTACTCCATTCTCCATTTTTGAGGGTCCATTCCCATTTCTCGTAGATGGGACCCCAGATCAGATCTTAATGTCAGATTCCTAACTTACAAGATTTTCATCTTGCAAGGCATATGGAGATCTAAACTAAAAGCACTTTAAGATCATGTCTCTATGAGTGTGAGTGAGTTTGTCATGAGTTCCAATATATATGATTGCACCTGGTACATCAGATTCTTTTTTAGCAAAAACAACAACCAATAAATATCACATTCTAGCACAAGTCTCACAAGTATGAGTAGTGTATGATTATAAATAACAGTCAACTCACCTGCTGCACTGCTGGCAAAACCTTTGCATCACATTCCCTACCAATGCCTTGGTGGACTTGGAATGCAGATTACAAACCTTATGTCTTCTATGATAATCCTTTGCACCGGTCAAATCGGTTTGGCAATCATCTACCTGACAAACTGCACGGTTGGGTGTGGCTCCACCCACTTTAGACTTCTTCCCACTCTTTCCTTCCCATGAGTACATTTGCCCTCCAAGATTTAAGTTAAGAGCCCCAACTTCATCACCCACTTGTTCTTCTTCATCAAGAACCACAACCCTCCTCCTCTTCTCCAATTCCCTCTTCCCTTCATCAGAGCAAGATGAAGAACTATTAGATACACCGGTATTTGCGTCAGCCCCTGATGTAACAGGGAACAATTGCCTACTCCTGCAATCTGATGATATTGCATTTAATGGGGTGGCTGCGAACAGATCGCCGTCCCATTTCCAATCATTTAAATCCCACTCCATACTTGTCTTTCCAACAGCCTTCAAATCGGACACCACCGGTCCATAGTAATGATGAGGGTTTCCTCCAAATTTAGCCTCCATTGATCAAAATCAAGAGCTCACAACTAAGCAAATGAAGTATTGGCTTTTGCAGATTTCACTACCTTACGATCAACTCGATTGAAACATATTTTATTATACGATCTGCTCAGAAACTAAAAAAGGAATCTTTTTGGGAAATTTCAACCCTACTCGAGAAAGATTCTCAATTTCCCTCAAACAAACCCTAAATCAACAAAACGCGACATCAAATCATGAACTGCAGTTACAAGAACTTACAATCCTAGAAGAACACCTTTTGTTAGATTACCATGAAAACCCCAAATTCTCTTACTTGGGAAAAATTCTTCCATTCCCAGAGATCAAGAAACAGTACATCTTCACATCCAAGAACCCAAACAACAACCCACATGCCATAATAAAAAACCCACCTTCAAAACTACTAAACTCACCTGAAATCAATAAAAGATATAGCTTTCATCGCATCAACAACTACCTGGAGTCCATCTTCTTCTAATTCATAGAGAGAGAAACAGAGAAAATAGGAGGATTTGTAGAAAGGGTTTAGTGATAAGAGGTTGATCTTGATTCTTGAAGATGAAAGTGAGAAAGTGAGAAAGATGAGAGATCGCCGGCGAGAAAGAGTGCAAGAAGAGGGAAATTAGGAGGGGGGAAATGGAAAAAAGTGGGGAAGAGGATCAAGTTGGAGGACATATGTGTCCAAAGAAAACTGGTTGTAGGACATGTCGATGGAGACCATTCCAATACCGTTTTGAGGGCATATCACATAGTGCAATGTCCTTGTTCAATAAACAGTACATATGTTTAAGTTTCGATTTACTTTTTTGTATTCATTGTACACATGTGAAAACAATGCTATGAATCTTTTGGTTTTGTGCTTTAATCACTTTTTATATTTTTTTAAAGGTTTATATATTTTCCGATACGATGATGTATAAGTCTTTAATGTCAAAACTAACAAATATTAGGCATCGGACTACATGGACGGACCTACCACGGTTATTATTTCTCTGTCAAAAGGTAAAAAAAATTAGGTTCGTAAAAGGTGCAACCGTATTAATCTGTTGTGTGTCATCGTATGTATTTTAAAATTACAATGAGAACAAGTTTTATTTGGTAGAATTGGCTTGCACGGTTTTTATTCCACTCTAGACCCAAATTCAAATCTTGTTAGTGTCATTTTCTTAATCAAATAGTGTCACCGATTGAAAAAAAAAATTCGTATATTTGTTTCTTATGGTCAACCGGTGCCACTGCTTGAAATTTTTTCGTTATAGTTTTTTTCTTATAGTCAAATGGTGCCACCATTTGAAAAAAATTACGGGTCCGTCCCTGTCGGACTATATCAAAACGTAATCTTTATAACAGTTTATGATTTTTTTCATCAAACTTTTCTTCTTAAATGGACTTTTAATTTTCTATAAAGAAAGATACTGAATGCAAAAGCTATGGTTTATTTCGATGGGAATCATAAACAACTGATATTCCTCGAGAAAATGCACTTTCATGACTTAAAGATTTACTTGTTTTTAACTTGATTCGTTTAATCATAAGAAGTGTTTGTTATTTTGTTCTAAAATTAAGGTGGTGGCTTGGCTTAACTTTTAAGCAACAAGGGGAAAGATTTATGTATTCTGGTGCAAGTTTCCAACCCTACCCTCATGATATGTCACTTCTCTCTCTTGACCAGTTCGACTCTCTCGTTTCACCCGATGTTCCCCCCTCTGTCGTCTACGTCCTTCTGCTTCTCTCTTTTTTATCAAGTTTGGTTGGGACCTTCTATCTATCTCGTTGTTCAGCTCTCCATCGAATTGTTTGTACGTATAGTCTTCTCTTTAATCCCTCTCTTGTTCTAATTGATCATTCCCTTGGATATATATATATATATATATATATATATATATATATATATATATAAGGATTCTTGAAGTTTAGATCTTAAATATTGGTTTGAGCTTTGCTCCAAAGGTCAAAAGTAGCAAGAGGTCTCAGGTTTAAATCCAAGGAGGAATAAAATTCCCCTTGTAGCCACGGAGGTTCAAATGTTGTGACTCCGGGCTATCTGCAAAACAGGTGGTCGCCCTGAGATTAGCCAGCTCCCTTAGCAAGTTGGATATCCAGGTTAATCAAAAAAAATATTGGGGTTCAATTTTCATCATCGTAAGTTATTTTACTTGCACATTAAATGTTTCATAAAATTCCTTGACGGTGACTATGGATATTTGAGTTAGGAAAAAAACGTGTTGTCCATATACATTGCATATTATCATATTTATTGTGGTTGTTGGATGGATTTGAAATTCAAACAAGTCTGGATTACGATACATAAGAATATACGAATCAAGTGGACACGAACTATAAGTAAAGAAATGGTTTTCTTTGTGTTACAAAATCAAGTACCACTTCCAAGATCCTAAAAATAGCATAATAATGACCGATAAATAAGATTACTGAAACAAAATTACCCTTCGACCTATGAAGTCTTAATTTGATTGAAATTTTATTCAAATGTTATTGGTTAATAACAAAAATAGATGTTGGTAATAATAATAATAGCAAAATAAATATAATTTATAAATACATTTTTTTGGAAAATGTAAGAGTTTTCTTACAACATTTCCAAATGAACAAATACAAACCATATACATATCGTGAGAGCAATCTTTATTATGAGAACACTTTGGAGTCGGTTGGTCGACAGAAATGATCATAATGTATTTTTGTAAATGATGGATATTTTCGTCTTTTTTAAGAGATATTGGATCTTGAATACTTCGCCCACCTTTATTACACATATTTACACATTTTCATTTACTTTACATATATACTTGTATTATGACAACCAAAAAAGGTTCGCATATTCTTGAGTAATCTGATGGAATTGGAATGTTGAATTATATTGACCAAATTTCATTCTCTTGTTTGGTTCATTTTTTTTCACGAAAGTAATTTTCAAAATCCTACAAATTCCACAAATAAAAGAATTTAACATTCCTTAACAAGTGCATGGTATTTTGATGGAATGAAATCTCTATCTTCATTATACCAAATATGTCTTTAACCTAATATACTCTAATCTCATAAAACTCAATATAACCATCGTCGACCACCTCCGACCACTATTGATTTGAACCACCACTGACTACCATCAATCTGAACCACCGCCAACCACCACCACTGACCACCACCGATCTGAACCACCGACTACCACCAATTTGAACCACTGACTACCACCAATCTGAACCACCGCCGACCACCACCACCGACTACCACCGATCTGAACCACCGTCGACCACCACCACCACTACCACCGATTTGAACCACCGTCGACCACCACCACCGACTACCACCGATCTAAACTATTGCCGACTACCATTGATCTAAACCACCGCCGACCACCACCACCACCGACTACTATTGATCTGAACCATCGCCGACCACCACCACCGACTACCACAGATCTGAACCACCGCCGACTACCACCAATCTGAACCACCGCCGACCACCACCGACTATCACCGATCTGAACCACCGCCGACCACCACCGATCTGAACCACCGCCGACCACCACCGATCTGAACCACCATCGACTACCACCGATCTAAACCACCGCCGACCACCACCACCACCGACTACTATTGATCTGAACCACCGCCGACCACCACCACTGACTACCACAGATCTGAACCACCGCCGACTACCACCAATCTGAACCACCACCGACTATCACCGATCTGAACCACCGCCGACCACCACCAATCTGAACCACCGCCGACCACCACCGATCTGAACCACCATCGACCACCACCGATCTGAACCACCATCGACTACCACCGATCTAAACCACCGCCGACCACCACCACCACCGACTACCACCGATATAAACTACCACCACCGACTACCACCGATATAAACTACCACCACCGACTACCACCGATATAAACTACCACCACCGACTACCACTGATCTGAACCACCGCCGACTACCACCGATCTGAACCACCACCACCGACTACCACCGATCTGAACCACCACCACCGACTACCACCGATCTGAACCACCATCGATTACCACCGATCTGAACCACCGTCGACCACTACCGATCTAAACCACCGCTGATCTGAACCACCACCGATCACTACCGATCTAAACAACCGTTGATCTGAACCACTGCCGACCACTACCGATCTAAATCACCGCTGATCTGAACCACCATCGACCATTACCAATCTAAACCATCATCTGACACCGTCGATTTGAACCAATGTCTACCATCGTCATCTGAACCACCACGGACCACCATCGATCTGAACCACCGCTAACTACTACCAATATGAAGCACCACCGATCTAAACCACCATTGACCATCACCGATCTGAACCACATCCAACCATCGTCACCTGAACCACAACGGACTACCATCAATCTATATCACTGCCAACCATCGACGACTACCATCGATCTGAATCACCATCGGACACCGCCAACCACCATCGATTTGAACAATCACCACCTCCACCGCCTATCTGAACCATCGTTGACCACCTCCATTTGAACCACTGCGGACCACCATCGATCTGAATCATTGCGGACCACCACCATCTGAACCACTGTGGACCACCACCGATCTGAACTACCGCCGACCACCATCGATTTAGTAACGTCGTTTGTCTTATGATTATATTTGGGTTGTGTATTTTATATTGTTTTACATATTAAATAATTATTTTATTAAAGTATTTTTAGTTTTAAAAAATAAAATTTTCAAAAAAGGTTATTTACCAATATTTTATTCCAATTCTAAAACTACATTATGTGAACCAAACTATTGAATTCTAATTTCTTAATAGATTACATTCCAATGTCTGCCAACAAACAGGTGGTCAAACCTGACAACATTTCATTCCAATTCCTTCAAAGTCAAATTCCTTTAACATATTACATTCCATCCAAAAACATTTTACGAACCAAACGTTACGTAAGAGGTTGAACTTTTTTCTCCCTCTAACCCTAGCCATCATATTATCATAAAAAGGATGCTAGAATTTTTTTGTCTATTTAACTTCTAATTTATTTATTTGGGATTGCTTATTTGAAACAACTTATGTTTTTTTAGAAAATCACTTATCAACTTATCATAAGTTAAAAGAGTTTAACTTCTTCAAAAACTTCTTATTACCGGTTTGGCACTAGTATAAGTTGTTTATCCAAACACTCAAAAATGCTTATTATCGGTGCCACACCGGAATAAGTCAATAATTTTTTTATAAGCAATCTCAAACACTTAAAATCAAGGTTTTAAATGATTTGAGATCGTTGGTGAGTCTAAGCCTCCAGCTTTTGGAGACACAGTGTTTTTCAAGCCATAACTTATGGTTGTAGAATTTATGCCGTATTTTATATGTATATATATAAACATATGTTTTATACTATTACTTAATAAGTCAATGATGTTAAACACTTTAATTAGGTTATATATTAAATAGTAACAAGTATGATATTAAAAAAATAAGAAAAATCAAATATCACGTTACAAAAACAACACATTAGACCATGGCATGTCACAATCTTAACATAATGTTAAAC